GGGCTGTTTTGCTTCTGCAGGTACAGGGAAGCTTCAGCGTGTGCAAGGTACCATGAATTCTCTTCAGTACCAGGAGATATTGGATGGAAACGTGATGCAGTCCGTCACACACCTGAGGCTTGGAGACGTTGGACCTTTCAACAGGACAATGATCCCAAGCATACCTCCAAGTCCACTAGAGCATGGTTTGCAGAGAAAGGCTGGAACATTTTGGAGTGGCCATCGCAGTCACCAGACTTTAAATCCGATTGAGAACCTCTGGTGGGACTTAAAGAAAGCAGTTGCAGTGCGCAAGCCTAAGAATGTGACTGAACTGGAGGCCTTTGCCCATGAAGAATGGGGCGAAGATACCCGTAGATCGCTGCAAGACACTTGTGTCAAGCTATGCTTCACGTTTAAAAGCTGTTATAACTGTAAAAGGATGCTGTACTAAGTACTAAGATTGAATGTCACTTGGGGGGTTGAATAAAACTGATAATGCTGGATATGGCGTCCAGAGCACAGAAAAGACATTTGTGGTTATTTCATTATAACTGTTATGTTATATTTGTCTGACCTACAAGTGCCTCTTTAATGTAAATGTAAGCAAGATGACTGGAATGATCAAAAGCAATGTCAAACTGGCCAAAACACTCAATTTCAGTGGGGGTTGAATAATTTTTGGTCACAACTGTATGGATGGCAGGAGCCAAACGTTCACCTAACACAAAAGCCCAAAAAAATGCTCATAAGCTACTTCTTCGCTGGTGAATGACCCCATCAAGCATTGCCGAATTACGCAGTGACAAATTAATTCACATTACTCTAGAAGATGTAATGCACCTGGATTACTTCTTCATATGTGGTGAGAATGCCCTAAAATAAGGATATTATGGATTGGGTCTATAAACCCATACCCGATTTAACTAAACATGAATGCCAGCTTAAATCCTTCTTATTTCTGGCCACAAGGAAGACAATCACAAAAGTATGGTGGGCAACAAATCACATGCTTTGCAGACGTTAAATATATTTGTGTCTTGTCATACAGGAGAGGGTGACTGCCTAAATAATGCTCAAATAGCTTTCCTCAAGGCTTGTTAAACCATCATCAACTTCCTGGAGTGTTCCTTAATTTAAACTCTGGTACTTTTTGGTTCCACGTGTTCCACCCACCCCAGTCAAGTTCCCATTAACCACAACCCTAACCTCCACTCCACTACTCCTTTTTTTTTTTTTTACCTTCCCATGATCTTTACCTTTTTTCCTGTCTCTCCCACCTTCCCCCTTCCTTTCTACTTTCCTCCTTCAAATAGTTTTTTTCCTTATTACAATAGTTACCTCTGTTACTGATTGCAAGCTTCTGAGAGTTTTCAGATCATCTTAAATTTGTAGACCATGTAAACTGCCTGGAAACCTATTTTCTCCATTTGTGTTATCACAATTCTTAACAACTCACAATTTTTCGGAGCTCCATCCGAAAGGGGAAGTTCCCGCATAAAGGACTGCTCCCCCGTTCTCCATTAAGGATTGGCACCTTTGGGGGGTTGGTACCTGAATTTGACAGGTACCTGCTCCCACTTCCGGTCCGATCACCTAGGCGATCGAAAACAAAAGGTGTCCTCCCTCCCTCCCTGTAGTCTTTTGGGGCACGTGACAGGTCCCAGAAGACTACAGGACCATTCATGAAGTGCAGCGCTACTTGCGCATGCACAGTGGGTACCCGCTGTGAAGCCGCAAGCTATCACAGCCGGGTGCCCACAACAGAAGTTTCTGGCCTCCTGGAATACAGGACAGAAGGTGAAATGGACTGTGGGGGATACACCACAGGACCGAGGGACAGGTAAGTGGCTGTTTTTTTAAAAGTCAGCAGCTACAGTTTTTTAAGCAGTTTGGAGAAAAAAATTCAAAAAGCGCAGCTTTTGGGCACAGCTTCCCCTTTTTGAATTTTTTTGAATGTTTTTCTCCAAACAATAAACTGCTTAAAATATAATAAAATTGCAAAAATATGCCAAGAAAATTGAAGACCAATCATTTTCTTATTTTAATATCTCTAGTTTTATTGAAAATACAATTTTTATAATTGCTTTAAATACTATTCTTAATTTCTGATTTATGAGAACGATGGCTTATGGCACTAGATTTGTTAGTATTGTTAAATATTTTTGTTTGCTGAATTTAGGGTTTATATCCAGTATGACTTTACCTTCTACTGCATTAAACTTTCAAATCGTCACAAGTTAGCTTGCAGCCTCTGGTGTGTTTTACACTTACAGTTGTGACCAAAATTATTCAACCCCCAATGCTGTAAAGGGGTTTAGGGACTATAGTGTACATTTGGAATTGTATTCAGAATCAAATCCTACAAGGACGTTGTAACTACCCAAAATGCAACTAAAATGACATCAATTGTTTATGTAATACAGTAGTAAATGGTTCTTATGTGGTTTCTTTTCATTGCCACAATTATTCAACCCCTTAAAGACTACCACTCTGAAGAACAGAGGTTCATACAGGTGCTTTCCATCAGGTATTGAAAACACCTGTGGATGTCACCGAGCAGCAATCAAGCATAATAAGCACCAATTAGGCAGCTTTAAAATGACTGTGATACTCAGCTCCTTCTAGACATTTACTGGTGTGGTTACAAACATGGTGAAGGCAAGAGAATGGTCCAGGAAGACAAGATAGAAGAGGTGATTTTCTCTTCACAGGAAGGGCAATGGCTATAAGAAGATTGCAAAGATGTTAAACATACCAAGAGACACCTTAGGAAGCATCATTCGCAAATTCAAGGCAAAGGGCACTGTTGAAACGCTACCTGGTCGTGGCAGAAAGAAAGATGCTGACTTCGACTGCTGTGCGCTAACCTGAAGCGTAGAGTGGAGAGAAGTCCCCGTGTGACTGCTGAGGAACTGAGAAAAGATTTGTCAGATGTGGGTACAGAAGTTTCAGCCCAGACAATAAGACGCACACTGCGTAATGAAGGCCTCCGTGCCAGAACTCCCCAGGCGTACCCCCTTGCTGTCTCCAAAGAATAAGAAGAGTCGACTGCAGTATGCCAAAAGCCATGTGGACAAACCACAAAAAGTTTGTGGGATAGTGTTCTGTGGACTGATGAAACAAAATTAGAACTGTTTGGGCCCATGGATCAACGCTAATGTTTGGAGGAGGAAGAACAAGGCCTATGATGAAAAGAACACCTTGCCTACTGTGAAGCATGGTGGAGAGGGTCAATCATGCTTTGGGGCTGTTTTTGCTTCTGCAGGTACAGGGAAGCTTCAGCGTGTGCAAAGGTACCATGAATTCTCTTCAGTACCAGGAGATATTGGATGGAAAACGTGATGCAGTCCGTCACACACCTGAGGCTAGGGAGACGTTGGACCTTTCAACAGGACAATGATCCCAAGCATACCCCAAGTCCACTAGAGCATGGTTGCAGAGGAAAGGCTGGAAACATTTTTGGAGTGGCCATCGCAGTCACCAGACTTAATCCGATTGAGAAACCTCTGGTGGACTTAAAGAAAGCAGTTGCAGTGCGCAAGCCTAAGAATGTGACTGAACTGGAGGCCTTTTGCCCATGAAGAATGGGCGAAGATACCCGTAGATCGCTGCAAGACACTTGTGTCAAGCTATGCTTCACGTTTAAAAGCTGTTATAACTGTAAAAGGATAGCTGTACTAAGTACTAAGATTGAATGTCACTTGGGGGGGTTGAATAAAACTGATAATGCTGTGAGCACAGAAAAGACATTTGTGGTTATTTCATTATAACTGTTTTATGTATATTTTGTCTGACCTACAAGTGCCTCTTTAATGTAAATGTAAGCAAGATGACTGAATGATCAAAAGCAATGTCAAACTGGCCAAAACACTCAATTTCAGTGGGGGTTGAATAATTTTGGTCACAACTGTACCTCCATGCTGCTCTTGATTCCTTCACATGTGTGTTGTTCTGTGCTCACCTATGGGCGCCGTCTGCTTTTCCCTGTGTTTTATGTCCTTTTCCTTCCATCACTCTTGTCCCACCTCCTTTTCTGACTGTCTATTTAAGATGTGCTCAGACTGGGCCACATTGTCTGAGCAAACGGTTGTTGTTGGAGCTCCCCTGTGTTCTACTGAGTATCCGTTAGCATATCTGTGTACCGACCCCAGCTTCGTCCCTGACATCCCTCCTGTATTGTCTGCCCGTGTACCGACCCCGGCTTCATTCCTGACATCGCTAGTTTTCCACCTGTCCTGACCTCGGCTTTCCAACTGGATCTCCTGTGTCTACTCCTGGTGTACCCTGTTCCCTCTAGCTGTCTCCTCTACCTCAGCTGGGTGTACCTGGGCTGCGACCTGGTTCCAGCTTGCTCCAAGTCCATCCCCACCATCAGGGGCCTGGTGAACAAGCAGGCTGGGGCTTAGATTCCGTGCCATGGGGAACCCCAAGCTGTGGTTTTATAAAGCTCACTACCATAGACGTGACAGAAATAATGTTCCTCTTATTGAAAACCAGTTTTCTAATGTAGCAAAACAGTATCCCAGTGTACTCTAGCATGATCTAAATATATTTTGATATCTTATTACCCATCATTTTTATACATTCACTAGATAAAATAGCTATTTGAAGTTTGCCTTAATGCTCTGCCATTTTTTACAACAAATCTTTAGCTTTGCTAACCATCCTTCTATCTACGGCTTTTGTTTTCACATGAATAGACAGAGCATCTCAAGAACTGCTCAGCAAGCCAGCTGGCTGAGTGTTGGTCAGACCTCAAAGTCATTTTATTCTGAGCTGCTATTAAGATTTAAAACCACATTCAAAGCTTTGCCTAAATGAACAAGTTACATAAATGTTCCAGCTATTACATCAGCATAAATTCAGATGCTTAAAAGTTTTCTCAGTAGAAACAGTTGATTGTGTTCATCTAATACAGAATCAGGGATAATCCCTTGATTCGCCAACAAGCTTATTATGAGCTGCCCCCAAAATGAGGGCCTCAGTCTATGTGAGAACTTGGATCAATTGAGCATTACCTTGATCTGGCCACTTTTCTTCAGCTTCTGATGTATGGACTGGTATGCAGTCATCATAATAAACAGAGGAATTAGATACTCAAAGAATGCCAGGGGGAAAAGGAAAGAGATAAAATTTCTGTCAAAACAAATAGATTTTTTTGTATTGATTAATTATTGATCACAATAAAGCATTATTGTCACACAATTTCCACTCATTTCCTTCTGCATCTCTTAAAAACACATCCATATTATTTTGCTTGTTCTTATAATGATTTATTCTCATAGAAGTAGCATTTGTAAAACTATTTTGGCAAAATTAGTATGTTTTGCTTTTAAAGAAAACTGACAAGTTCCCATGAAATAGGCATTTAGTGATCTGATCTTCCTGAATATGATTGTGTTCTTGCTTCAGGACACCCTTCCTATTTTGTTCTATTGCTTTTAATAGTTGTTAAAGGGGACTGTACTGGGGAAGCTGTGCCCAAAAAGACAAGTAGAATACAAGTAACTTGTCACCAATATTGCCTGTAGTCTCCATGAAATTGATATTGTCCCCATTTTTCATGTAAACCTTGCTTTGCTCCATACTGTGGTTCTGTGTAGCGGTGGTCCCCCTGATGATTAGAGATCTGATGACTGGTGGAGGAATAGGCAGCAGCTGGAGAGGTGCAGAAAGCACATAACATAATTATAGAAGCGGAAGGTTCTCAGGTACAGATTCCTCTCCAGTAAATCCACAGAGCACTGTAGTGACATTACCAAATCTCACTCCAAATAATGTAAGACTAGCAGCCAGGGGTAGCAATAATTCTGCAGATATTCAGTCATGAGGTTCAAGGTAGAGGGTACTGCTTAGACACAATTTACATATCTAGAGTTCCCTATAAGATAGCAAATTTTGACTTTTTGAGTTCAGGTCCATGTGATACTGCATTCTAATTAATTAATTTATTACATTTTACTACTGCTTCAGGTTTACATTGCTGTTACATATTTCACAAAATCACAACAGTCTGAAGAAGACTTACCTGTCAGATTTGGAATAATCCAATGTACAGCAAGTTCTTAAAGGTTCATAGTCATATTCACCCCAACCAAACAATGGCATCATAGACCAGAATGCAGAGAAGCCCCAGACAAACATCACCACGGAAATCGCTGTGCTCCAGTGTAGTTTGCTACCTACAAAATTATAACTGTATATTAAATGTTTTTACTTTACCAAAATTGACATCAGTTCAATTTTTACATTTAGTCTAATGTATATGTATTTGAGATGAGCATCGTTCTTGAATTACAAATGCTTTTCATGTAATACCAATACCACAGGCCAACAGCAGAGCTTTTTTTTGTACACAAAAAGACACTGTTGTCATCTGGAAATGCTTTGGCAGATATTGATTCACTTGTGTCCATGTTCTCTGGTGTAGTGGCTGCCTAACATGTTGCCACAGAAGTGTACAGATATGAGGGGGCCAGCCTTAAACATGTATGCAGGCTTGAGGGTGGGTGCGTATACTGTATGCGAGTGTGTCGGTGTAAGCATGTGGGTGCGAAAGTGTTTGTGTATGTTGGGTGTGTTGTTTGAAAGGGGGTACTTCTGTGCTATAAAGGGGTAGAATGAATTATAGGGATGCTGTGCACAGGTGTGTGTACATTTCCTCCTGACCCTTTAACTCTGTACATTATCCACTCCTGACCCATGAAATCTGTATGTTACACATTTCTGACCCCTTCACTTTATACGTTACACACTCCTGACCCTTTCACTTTGTAAGTTACACACTTCTGACCTCTGCATACAGTATGTTACTTACTCCTGACCCCTGCATTCTGTCCATAGTTACATACTTGGTCAAGTTGAAAAATAGCACAGGTCCATCTAGTTTAACCAATAAAAGCCCTTATAACTACAGTTGATCCAGAGGCAGGAAAAAAAAAACATGGCCTAATTTGCTCCAGCATGGAAATAAATCCTAATTCCTCAGGGCAACACAATATGTCCCATTGTTACCTATAAAATGTAAGCTTTGGTTATTTTTTTAGTGTATTTAGAAATGCATCCAACTCTTTTTTTAAAATAAACTACACTGGCCAGAACTAGGTACTTTCTGAGGAAGTCTATTCCACATTTTCAAAGCTCTTTCTGTAAAGAATCCTTTCCATGTGGAGGTTAGAACTCTTTTCTTTCTGACATTGAGTACTCCCTTGTCCTTTGTATTGACTTTAAAGTGAATAACCCTACGCCATCTTAATTATATAACATGACAAACAGTATGTCATCTGCAGACACAGAAATTGTGCTTTTAATTCTAAACTATATAATTTATAGATCGGTTAAGAAATAAGGGTCCCAACCCTGGCCCTTGAGGTACACTACTAATAACCTTAGACCATTCAGTGTATGAACACAGTCTTTTAGTCTGTTTTCTATCCATATACAAACTGAAATTTCAAAGTCTCTATACTGTATACTTAGATTTACACATTACCTGTTTGTTTAAAATGAGGTCAAATGCTATTTCAAAATCCAAATAAAGTATATCTGGTATAAAACTACATAAAAACTGGCAGGGGTTTTAACCCTCCTATCTAAAATGAAAAATGTGCATTTAGTTACAATTTAAATGGGACCTTTAGGAAAATTATTATCATACAGCTAATATAACAGATAATCCATAGAAATGTCCAAGAATAAAGATACAGGGTACATAGAGGGCTGTTCACAGGGTTCCCACCATGATGCAGGAAGGGTGGGGGCAGGGGCACCTCTATAGACCTAATACTCTCCTGATTAATTAGATCCATCCAATGCTGCCAGGTTATATATATATACACATTCACACACACAGTGGGGCAAAAAACTATTTAGTCAGCCACCAATTGCGCAAGTTCTCCCACTTAAAAAGATGAGAGAGGCCTGTAATTGGCATCATAGGTAGACCTCAACTATGAGAGACAAAATAAGAGAAAAAAAATCCAGACCATCACATTGGCTGATTTGGAAAGAATTTATTTGCAAATTATGGTGGAAAATAAGTATTTGGTCACCTACAAACAAGCAAGATTTCTGGCTCTCACAGACCTGTACCTTCTTCTTTAAGAGGCTCCTCTGTCCTGCACTCATTACCTGTATCAATGGCACCTGTTTGAACTTGTTATCAGTATAAAAGAGACCTGTCCACAACCTGAAACAGTCACACTCCAAACTCCACTATGATGAAGACCAAAGAGCTGTCGAAGGACACCAGAGACAAAATTGTAGACCTGCACCAGGCTGGGAAGACTGAATCTGCAATAGGCAAGCAGCTTGGTATGAACAAATCAACTGTGGGAGCAATAATTAGAAAATGGAAGACATACAAGACCACTGATAATCTCCCTTGATCTGGGGCTCCACGCAAGATCTCACCCCATGGGGTCAAAATGATCACAAGAACGGTGAGCAAAAATCCCAGGACCACATGGGGGGACCTAGTGAATGACCTGCAGAGAGCTGGGACCAACGTAACAAAGGCTTCCATCAGTAACACACTACGCCGCCAGAGACTCAGATCCTGCAGTGCCAGACGTGTCCCCCTGCTTAAGCCAGTACATGTCCGAGCCCATCTGAAGTTTGCTAGAGAGCATTTGGATGATCCAGAAGAGGATTGGGAGAATGTCCTATGGTCAGATGAAACCAAAATAGAACTGTTTGGTAGAAATACAACTCGTCGTTTTTGGAGGACAGAGAATGCTGAGTTGCATCCAAAGAACACCATACCTACTGTGAAGCATGGGGGTGGCAACATCATGCTTTGGGGCTGTTTCTCCGCAAATGGACCAGGACGACTGATCCATGTACAGGACAGAATGAATGGGGCCATGTATCGTGATATTTTGAGTGCAAACCTCCTTCCATCAGCAAGGGCATTGAAGATGAAATGTGGTTGGGTCTTCCAACATGAAAATGATCCCAAACATACTGCCCGGGCAACAAAGGAGTAGCTTCGTAAGAAGCATTTCAAGGTCCTGGAGTGGCCTAGCCAGTCTCCAGATCTCAACCCCATAGAAAACCTTTGGAGGGGAGTTGAAAGTCCGTGTTGCCCAGCGACAGCCCCAAAACATCACTGCTCTAGAGGAGATCAGTGTGTGCCAACCTTGTGAAGACTTACAGGAAACGTTTGACCTCTGTCATTGCCAACAAAGGATATATAACAAACTATTGAGATGAACTTTTGATATTGAACAAATACTTATTTTCCACCATAATTTGCAAATAAATTCTTTCCAAATCAGCCAATGTGATTGTCTGGATTTTTTTTCTCATTTTGTCTCTCATAGTTTAGGTCTACCTATGATGCCAATTACAGGCCTCTCTCATGTTTTTAAGTGGGAGAACTTGCACAATTGGTGGCTGACTAAATACTTTTTTTATATATATATATAAAGGAATGTATGACCATTCTTCCATTTGTGAGGTTAGGCACTGATATCGGACGAGAAGTCATGGCTCGCAGTATCCGCTTTAATTCATCCCAAAAGTGTTCTATCGGGTTGATGTCAGAACTCAGTGCAGGCCAGTCAAGTTCCTTCACCCCAAACTCTTTCATCCATGTCTTTATGGACCATGCTTTGTGCACTGGTACGCAGTCATGTTGGAACAGGAAGGGGCCATCCCCAAACTGTTCCCACAAAGTTGAGAGCATGAAAGTGTCCAAAATGTCATGGTGTGCTAATGCCTTAAGAGTTCCCTTCACTGGAACTAAGGGGCCAAGCGCAACCATAGAAAAACAACCCCATACTAAACTTTACATTTGTCACAATGCAGTCAGGCAAGTACCGTTCTTCTGGCAAACTGCCAAACCCAAACAAGTCCATTGGACTGCCAAAGAAGCGTGATTCGTCTCTCCAGAGAACACGTCTCCACTGCTCTAGGGTCCAGTGGTGACTTGCTTTACACCTCTGCATCCGACACTTTGTATTGCACTTGCTGATGTAAGGCTTGGATGCGGCTGCTCGGCCATGAGAACCCATTACATGAAACTCTCTATGCACCTTTGTGCTAATCTGAAGGTGACACGAAGTTTGGAGGTCTTTAGCAATTTACTCTGCAGACAGATGGCGAATTCTGTGCACTTCAGCATGCGCTCACCCTGTTCTGTCATTTTACGTGGCCTACAACTTCGTGGCTGAGTTGCTGTTGTTCCCTGTTGCTTCCACGTTGTTATAATACCACAAATATTTGGAATATTTAGTAGCAAGGAAATTTCACGGATGGACTTTTTACACAGGTGGCAACCTATCATGGCACCATGCTTGAATTGACTGAGCTCCTGAGAGTGACCAGTTCTTTCACAAATGTTTGTAGAAGCAGTCTGCATTCCTGGGTGCTTGATTTTATACACTTGGGGCCATGGAGGTCATTGGAACACCTGAATCCAGTGATTTGGAGGGGTGTTCTAATACTTTTAGCAGTATAGTGTATATATATCACCACCGCACTATGCGCAGTCCCTTTGTAAGTCACTAATCATCTCCATTAGTAGTAGAAAAAAATTAAAATAATAAATGGCAGTACATATACCATAGTTTGTAGGTGCTGTGACTTTAATGCAAACCAGTCATTTATTGAAATCTTTTTTAACCAAAGATATTTAGCAGAATACATTTTGGGCAAATTTTTTTTTTTATTGCATATGTTTTGTAGCCAAAAGTATAAAAAAAATTTTTTTTTTTAAATTTTCATTTTGATTACATCGTAAAAATATTGGCCTCAAGTATTTAATGATAATTTCAATAAAACTTGGGCCTCTGTACACCACCCAATATACCACAGATCATTATGTCATAATATATATATATATTTATAAAATCTGTGGTATATTGGGTGTTGTATAGAGGCCCATGCTTTATTGAAATTATCATTAAATACTTGAGCTCCAGAAGATTTTACCTTCATGCCCAGGCCATTTTTTGCTATTTAGCACAGCCCTATTTTAACTGGTAATTGTGCAGACATGCATGCTATAAACAAACGAAGTTATATTATATTTTTCACACAAATAGAGCTTTCTTATGGTGTATTTGATCACCACTGGGTTTTTTTATTTTTTGCGATACAAACAAAAACAAACATTTTTTTTTTGCTGCTAGAAAAAAAATTATCCCAATAAATGATTGGTTTGTGTGAAAGTTTTATAGCGCCTACAAACTATGGTATATGTAATGACATTTTTATTTTTTTCTACTGCTAATAACTGTGATCAGTGACTTACAAAGGGACTGTAGTGAGCAATCTGACACTGACGCTGGGGGGAACTGACTAACTGCCACTAACATCACTAGTAACATTAATACAGTATTCAGTGATACTACTATACAGTTTCACTGTAGTGATGACACTGGCAGGGAAGGGGTTAACATCGAGGGCGATCAAGAGGTTAAATGTGTGCTTAACTATGTGTAATATGTGTAAAGTGTGCTGCTTTTACTAATAGAACTCTTTGCTTTGCAGGGATGAGAAACAGATTATTCCCTCTGTATGGAGCTTTGTGTTTATTATCAATACAGAGCTCTGGGTTGTGATTGTACCCAGCCATTCAGCAGGCCCCGACTGTGAATTATTGGCCGGGACTTGCTCACATGCTCCCGCTGTGATTGTACACTGTACATTGTCCTGGTAGGGGGACGCACATGCACACACCCTAAACCTGGAAGCAGGCAGTGACATATGGGTCTGCAAGTGGTTCGAAAAAGTCTTTGTCATTCCAGCATGGGAAGCATATTTATTAGGAGGCACTTCAGCAGCCAGTGCCACACATGTGCATCCAGTGTATCAGTGCTTGCTTTAAACAACACAGTTCGACGATCCACTCCAAACTCTGGGATTTCCTTGCACACTGCACCGCCAATATCTCTGCACGGCCACAGATGCTTTCTGTATTGTGTGTGATATTGTTTCTCCCCTTATTAAATGTTGAATTTTAATGCATGCCTGCACCTTGTTGTTTTTAGATTGCAATCATACCTGTGGTCTCCAGTCTGTGTTTACATCCAGCCAGTAGATCTTCAGCGTGCTGGCTTTGCCTGTGACGCAGTCTCCCATAGAGATCTATGGGCCCTTTTTCTAAGTGTGCTTATCCTTTAAATCTCAGCTGCCATCCTTTTAAGTGCTCAGTTTTACTGTTTATTTTATAGAGTTTAATGTATATCACAATAAGTGCAAAGCTGGGCTGTCACAGCTGGGTTCCTCTCGCTAACCCAACCAGCATACTAGGTGTTATGTAGGTCAAATGGGAAATCAGACTATCTTTACCTATCACCTAGTGTGATTGAAAAGGACTAAGATGTGCTCAGGCATTCATATGCATTTTAGTAGTGCAGTTTCTAGATATTCTTACAAACAATTTTGTAGTGACTGTAGTGACAATTTTGTAGGAGCCACTGAGACTGCTGTTAAAGTTTTACATTGAATGAATTATTACTCTCAAGCAACTGCCATGTAAAGACACACTGACTGTATTAGAAACAAACAAGCAAGCATAATGGCTATTATAAAGTTAATTTAGTTAGGGGTCTTGCTGAAAAAAAAAAAAAAGTCAACACTTACGAGTACAATATTGGTGATAGCGGTCCCATGCTATTGCAGCACAAGAGCTGATACTGGACAGAGCTGCAACAAATCCCTGGAATCCATGAATCTGACATCCTTCTGATCCATAAGGCCAATATCTGGTAAAATGGTGTTGACAATGCAAAGTAAAAAAAAAAAAGTTATTGTATAAATACTGCATTACTGGAATCGGTCAGCTTTTCACATTGCCTACGTATACTGAGCTCAGAGCCATTCTGCAAATTTGGACAATATTTCTATCTAGGTACAAAGCTCTCGATAAACTGCCAACTTGAGTGTATGCCAGACTTGTGAATGCAGTAACAATTACGTTCTGAAATAGCTGCGCTTGAATTGACTATTTGGATTTTGTTATGCTGACAGGCCTACAATTGTAGGCCTGTCAGCATAAGATGGAATAATTATCTGCTGTGGAAAATTGGCAAACAAGGGCACAACAGGAGTTGTCTGTATTTTATATTTGGGAACTCTTGTAATTTTCTGGTAGCTGATAGTAGTAAAGATGGATATTTTCACATTGACATATGAAATTTTATGACATTGATATGGATACTCTGGCAATGACAAATCTATTGATTGTGGTGTTCCCCGTGTTATTGAGGTATGCATTCACACACTGACCATAAAATTGTCCTGATTGTTGTTCTTAGGGATTTTGTTCAGTGGGAATGCAGTGGTATGCAATACTGGCACCTCCAGCACTTAAAGCATGTACTGGCAAGGGGTACTTGAGCATGCTGGAGAGTTTACTGTTGCTGGGGGGGTCTACTGTTGCATGAGGAGAGTCTACTGTTGCAAGCTTCTTAAGGACCAATTGTTGCTGAGTGGGTCTACTGTTTTGGGGGAGCTCTATTGTTGGCTGCTGGAGGGTCTATTGTTGTTCTCTATTGGAGGGTCTAATGACGCTGGCTGCTGGAGGATCTAATGTTGCTGGGTGGGTCTATTGTTGCTGGCTGCGGTATTTTGATGTTGGCTGCTGTATTTTGATGCTGAGGTGGCTATTGTTGCTGGAGAGGATTTATTGTAGCTTAGGGGGTCTATTGTTGCTGGGGGTCTTCTTGGAGGAGAGTATGGGGCATTGACAAGGGATGGTGCTTAGGGATGGATTGGAAGCAGAGACAATGGATGACTTGAGTGAAGGGGGGAATACCAGCACCTATTCACTGAGAAAAAAGACCCTGCTTGTTCTACTATGTTTAAATGTATGTACAGCAATAACTTATTCCAGTTTTGAATAGAGAAGGAAGAGTTAGAACCCCATCACATTTTTATCGCTGTCTGTGTCCTCTCTAGGACTCTGTGATTGCTTTAGAGACAAAAAATATTACTGTTGTCACCAAAAGGAAGACTGTGGGTAAATTGCCCAGTTAGGGTATTTGTTCCTAATAAACTAAGATTATACTTCCCCTCATTTTGGAAATAATTCCTCCTTTTAAAAATGTACCCAGCAGGTTACAGACAAAAAAAAAAATAAACTCAGTGGTTTTCAGTCTTTTTTTTTTTTTTTTTTTTATCCTACTTCACTTAAAAAAAGTTTTGACTATACATAGGTTTTAAAATGTTTTAGGTCTTTTACGAAGCACTATTGTATTGCTACGAGCATATTAACCTCCCTAGCGGTCTGATTATGTCCATATTCTGTGCTGAAAGCGGTACATTTTTTTGCATGGAAATATGTATTTTTTTTTATTGTAGGCCCTGTAATTTTTAGGAATAACTCACTGAAATCTCTCAGAACAAGAGTCTAGTAAACATTCCGGGTAGTATAAAACTTGAAACACAAAATCATAAATTATAATTTAATAAATCATAAAAAATAATAATATAATAAATTTAATTCAATAATATAATCAAACCAAAAACACTGAAATTTGAAATATAGCGCCACGTTCGCACATCACTGAGCAAAGTCGCAAAATCGTTTTCAGTGTCTGATGACGAATTTCCCCACAAATCATCACTCAATTCTGCAAGTGGTTCTGATTTATTATCGCTGTTCTCTAGCCGGGCTAAAACCGCTTTTGACCTAAAGGAACGCTTTTTGGACGCCATGGACTTTTCTAAGTTTCCAGGCAGAAAGAACAGTAAAAATGCAGGAAGGGCACAGGACAAAGTACTAGGGACAAAATGTATGTGAAATGGTTTGATACAGTAATATTTTACCATGTCAAATTCGTTTATTAGAAAATGACAGTTTCTAAACCTTTTTAAATTTGCCGCCGGTTCCGGCCCCCGTACGTCCTGCCTGGTCACGGATGCCGGCATCGGCCGGAGGAGATGTCTGGGGACGCTGCAGGGGACTCATCGCAGGAGAGAAGGACAAGGTAAGCGCTGCAGGGAATCTGCTGCAATTAACTCCCCTAGCGGTATTCCCGAGTGTAGCTCGGGGTTACTGCTTTTGGTACTGAAACTTTACCCTGAGCTACACTCGGGAATACCACTAGGGAGGTTAATTGCAGCATATGTGCATAATTCCAATAGTTCTATCGTTATCTACTGTGGAAGATATAGTATGAAATTATGCTGTAGCCCTCTTTTAGAGTTTGTATTGTGAGACTAACATCAAAGCAGCCATAAAGCTGTAGTCAACAGGTTTTGCATTATGGAAATGAAAACCACCACTCTCCCAGTCCCGATTTTTATTAGTATATGTATGTGGAGGCCTCAGCCTGCACCACTCCAGAAGTCATGCCCTCTGATGCACTTCATCCCACCCATCGGGGCTTAGTCATAGAGGTGGCACCTCTATGTCTAAGACTCCTATGGGAGGGGGGAAACTCATCAGTGGATGTGGCTTGAGCAGTGGTGCAGGCTGAGACTTCCATATACTAATACAGATCAGGCTGGTAGATCAGCAGTTTTAGCTTCTATGATACACACTACTGGATGGTGACATTGCATTCGGACACCTCATTCCTGAGTGCCAATGGGACAACACACACTCTTTTTGCTTTGAGCAGCATTGCAAGCTGCGTGAGGGTCCTAACAGGGTCTGGAATAAAAAGTACCATTTCAGTCTTTGCATATGACACCAAGCTATGCAGTAGAATAATGTCCTTACAGAATGTCTTCAACTTACAAGCCAATTGGACAACTGTGTACCTAATGTAGTTATTGATAATTGTAAAGTTATGCACTTGGGGACTAAAATATGCATACATCATACATACTAGGGGGAGTACAACTGGGGGAATCAATGGTGGAGAAGGATCTGGGATATTGGGGAACTAGAGAGAGTGCAGAGAGGGACAACCAAACTGATAAGAGGTATGGAGGAGCTCAGTTATGAGGAAAGATTAGAGGAACAGAATGTATTTTCTCTTGAGAAGAGGAGATTAAGGGGGAATATTATCAACATATATAAATACATAAGTGGTCCACATAGTGAATTTGGTGTAGTTATTCATCTTATGGTCATCAGAGTACAAGGAGGCACTCTTTACATCTGGAGGAAAAGAGATTTTATCTCCAAATACGGAAAGGTTTCTTCACAGTAAGAAAATATGGAATAGACGCCCTCAAGAGTTGGTTCTGGCCAACTCAGTGGATTGCTTTAAAAAAGGCCTGGATTCTTTCTTGGATACACAGAATATAACTGGTTTTTAATACTTATAGGTAAAGTTGATCCAGGAAATACCCAATTGCCTCTTTAGGGGATTTTTTTTTTTTTTTGCCTTCCTCTGGATCAACTGTAAAAATTTGTGTGGTGTTTTTTTTTTTTTTTCTTTTTTTTGGCTGAAATGGATGGAGTAGCCTCTTTTTTTGAACCAAATTAACTATGTAACAGTTTTTGTATAATTTCTATTTTTTTGGGGAGAATTTGTTCCCTCTGTAAAATGAATTTAGACACTAGTAGATGTAGCACCCTACTAGATAGGTGCTAGTAGATAAATTTAGTTCTGTGCTCATTGTAATCAGTGTGGCAGTTTGTGATTGTTTAGGACTGTTCTATGTGTCAGAGGTTGCAGATTTGATTGCTTCTCTTGCAATCCAGAACTTTCTGGGTTATTCTGAAATATAGGTGTGGAGCAAGGCAAATTGGCAACATGAATATTTATACTATCCCAGCCAATTCCTGTGAGAGACTGCACAGATGGTTGCTGGAAAGTTGTATAAATAGTATGAGACCTGGAACAGAAATGTCTTGTCCCTGAGTAGGCAATCACAGCTTGGGGGTGCTGATTGCCCCTCTGGGCAGTCTGCCATGTGTTTCCTGTTCATCGTGGTCTTAGCTGGGCTAGCTGAGGGGTCGATTTTGCTGAAAATTGCTGAAGCTGACTGAGGGACCTATTGCTGAGGATCTAGTCTGGTATCATGGGGAGAAAGTGTTTGGAAGATATTGGAAGAAGGCAACCAATCATCTAAGGACATTTGTGAGTACAGAATAGTGTGATAGATACTAGAACCTCTGTGGTGTTGCCACCCCTCTGGTGCTATAGAGTTAGCTGTGTTTACAGGGGACATTTAATCTATTTAACTCATAGTAAAAGGATTCTGCTCAGCTTTCTCAGGTTGCTACTACAAAGCTAAGTCCACCATTTACTTGTGCAAGGACTTCCTCAAGAGTTGGTTCGGGCCAGCTCAGTAGATTGCTTTAAAAAAGGCCAGGATTCTTTCTTGGATACACAGAATATAACTGGTTACTAACCCTTAGAGGTAAAGGTGATCCAGGGAATATCCAATTTGCTGTGTTTACAGTGGACATTTTGTCCCATATCCTGAAGAGCTTAATCTATTTAATTTGAAGTGAAAGGATCCTGCTCACATTTCTCAGGTTGCTACTACAAGCTTAAGCCCACCATTTACTTGTGCAAGGACATGACTCCTTGTTCTACAGAAGAAAGAGTGTCCTTCTGTTTGTACATAGTTTTGGAGTATCCCACATAGTTGCCTATCTCTAGCCAAGTTACCCAAAAACAAAGACACCAAAAAAAGAGAATACCATTGGCAAAAGAACCCTGGGCATCTTTCTAGTAGATATAAATAAATAAATAAATCCACTTTCATAGAAATGTAAACTATAAAACTAAAATATACTTTTAAAGAAAATATAGAGAAATATTGAGATCGTTATTGCTGACTGTCTTTTAAAAATACT